TAGATTAGCCAGTTTTATATTACCATAATGAAATGCTGGAGACACTTTGCTTAGGAAAGAGAAAGATTTACTGAGTGCAGATGCAGGGTTGTCTCTGCGATCACCACAGCCTGCAGAGTGATAATCCATGGGAGATAAGAAGACAGTTGGTCCAGCATGACTCAGTAGCCAACGATGGTTCAAACTTAAGGAGTCTGACCCAAGTAGTTTATTTTAGGCATACTTAAGCACAGCATAATTTTGTGAAAACTTCCTGGTAATAATTTAGTCAATTTCGTGTGTACAATAAAGCATCCATAAATCTCTTTGAGAGTCGAAGAAAGCTAAATAAACAGACATAACTACATTAAAGCTATTCGTAATGTACATGTGACGCCTTCCATAAAAATGGGTTCTGTAGATTGAGAAAAATGAGCTCGTGATGAGGGTCTCGGGGAGGATCCAGTATGGTCTCAGACACACAGAGTGCAAAGGTCAACCGGGCTATTAACCACTGCTGCTCCCAGCCTACTGGGCAGGCACCAGATTATGCATGCATCCCTCCCTCTGAAGGAAAAACCCTGTCCTTGTGTTTAAACCCCTGGTTCCTCTAGTGCTTTTCTGTGAGCACAGTACCTCTGTGCCTCCCACAATTGAACTCATGGTCCTGGAGTTCTCAGTCTAAAAATCACACAAACTTGAGGACACACGTCCGAGCATGTGATGTGTTCAGGTGCTTTGGTCTTTTCAAATGATGTGGATGAGTACTCGTGCCTTGGATCACATGTGGAGGTCAGAGGGCAACTTGGTGAAGTTGGTCCTTTCCTTCCACCTTCATGTAGGTTCTAGGATGGTTTCACAGGAATGAAATTCAGGTCACCAGGCTTGTGTGGCAAGAGCTTGTCCACTGAGCTATGCTGCCAGCCATGTTTTATTTTCTTATTTTGTTTTGTTTTGTTGAGATGGTCTCACTGTGTAGCCCTGGATACCTGGAACTTGCTATGTAGACCAGGACAGCCTTGAACTCACAGAGACCTATGTGCCTCTGCTTCCTGAGCTTGTAGTACCAACTGAGTTTACAGGTGCATGCCACCATGCCTGGCTTGGGTCTTGGAATCCAGGAGACCAGGGTTTGAACTCTGCCTTTACTAGCCCTGTGACCCAGAGGAAGTCACTTATCCTTGCAAAGCATTGTGTCCTCAGTCTATAAACAGGGTTCATGGTGCTGTTTTTCTCATAAGACTGCCTGCCACCAGGGCTGAGTCACTACACACACGGGGCTGGGCTCACATCACTAAGTTGTTAAGAAAATGGTGTAAAGGCAAACTAGCAGTGATGGTGTGTTTTTTAGTAACTAGCAGTGATGGTGTGTTTTTGAGTGCATGGTGCTCTTTGTAAGCTCATTTGATCATATGCTCATGGATATTCTTAATGTTTTACATCCTATGGGTTTGGGGGATGAGCAATAACCTGTGCTCTTCATTATAGTCCCTAAATATGGTCTCACTATCTTGAGAATCCTCTGTGCTGTATGGATTCATCCCCTCCCCACCCTACCCCCAGGCTCTGACATCTACTAATGGTTGTATCGTCTCCACAGTTTTGCCTCTTCCAGAGTGTCTTATGGTGGGGACGATTCATTACATAGCCATTTCAGATTTGCTTTTTTCCTTTCAATGGTGTGTACAATGCTTCCTCTACAGATCACCATGACCCAAAGCTGATGGCCCATTAGCACCAAACAGTGTGTCATCACCTGTCTGTACCACAGTCTATCCATTTACCTGCTGAAGAAGATGGAACTGGCTATAAACACTTGTGTTCATGTTTTTCTGTGGGCATTATTCAAACTCACTTAAATAAACACCAAGAAATATAATTGCCAGATACTGTGCTAAGAGTACATTTGTCTCTTAAGTAACGGCCACCTGTCTTCTAAAGTGGCTACGCTATTTTACAGTGATGTCAAAAAAGAATATGTGTGCTTACTCCGTACATCTTTGCCATTATTTGGTGGGGTTTTTTTTTTTGTTTGTTTGTTTTGTTTTTCGAGACAGGGTTTCTCTGTGTAGCCCTGGCTGTCCTGGAACTCACTCTGTAAACCAGGCTAGCCTCGAACTCTTGAACTCAGAAATCCGCCTGTCTCTGCCTCCCAAGTGTTGGGATTAAAGGCGTGCGCCACCACCGCCTTTTTGGTGTTAGTGTTTCCTGTTTGGGACAGTCCCGCAGGTGTATATGTGACTGTATTTTGTTTTACAGCCATGTAGCTTTGTTTCAAGCTTTGACATTCTGAGTGTGAGGTCTCCCACTGGATTTATCTTTCTTAACATTGTTTTTTGCCAATTAGAGATTCTTGTCATTCCGTTTAACTACTAGATTATCTTTTCTATTTCTCGCCCAAACCAAGTCACGGCTGTTTTGGTAGAAACATTAAATCTATAGCTCGCTTTGAATAATATTGTATTTGACATCTTAAATAATACTGTTTTCCAACCTGTGAAATGGGATTTTCTTCCCTTTATTTGAAGTTCCATTAATTTCCTTGAGGAACATTTTGGAGTTTTCACATTTATTCCCTTTCCAAGTTAATTCTTAGCTATTTTATTCTTTGGGTTTTATGTCATGGTTCTCTTTATTTTCTGTAAGCTTCTCATGCAATCTCTAGGGTTTTCTACATACAGGATCCTGTCATCCACAAACAAGCCACTTTCCTTCTCCTTTTCCAGTGAGAGTGTTCTTAGTTTCATTTGCCTGGTGCTCTGGTGTTGTTAACCCTGTATTGAAAGAAGGGAAAGCAGACACCCTCCCCTTCTCAATCTTAGAGGCCAAGACTTCAGCTTTTTACTGTTGAATATGTTCAAGCTCTGAACAGCTTTAAAATTGTGCTGTTCTGTATTCCTAGCACCTACATTAGAGTCTGGAACATGACAATTACAGAACAAATGTAGCCTTTTAAAACTTAATGAGCTCCTGGCCACGGTGGCGCACGCCTTTAATCCCAGCACTTGGGTGGCTGAGGCAGGCAGTTATTTATGAGGTTTGAGGCCAGCCTGGTCTACAGAGCAAGTTCCAGGATAGCCAGGGCTACACAGAGAAACCCTCTCTTAAAACAAAACAAAACAAAACCACCACCAACAAAAAACTTATTGAGCTAAAGGTATTATTTTTATCCTTTTTTTGGTGTGTGTGCGCGCTGTCTTTTGCTGTTTTTATAAGACCAGGTCTTGCTCTGCAGCCCAGGCTGACAGTCATGACAGTCCTCCTGCATCAAGTCCCTCAAATATGGGCATGAGCCACCATGGCTGGTTTTATAAAAGTTAGAGGGCAATGGTGTGGGTAGAAAGTATCATTAGGCGGCACACTAGCAAGGAGCTGGTGTTGGTCACTAATGACGGGCACCAAAGTCACTGCAGTTATGGTCCAGTTGCTCGACAGTCTATATTTTAGAGCTTCCGTCCAGTTGTCTTTTCCTTTTCTGTAGCAGCACTTAACAGCTGGAGGAATGCAGCATGTGCTCCAACTCCTCGTGTTAATGGCTACTGAATAAATAACTTGGCACCCACTGGAAGCAAAGCAAATGAACAAAAAGCTATAAATTATAGATAGCTGTTCGTGTCAGTAGATAGCAGCAGATTCCTCACTGTGGTACAGCTCTGCAACCACAAAGCTGATTTAAAAGGCCTGCATCTGCTGGCCTTGGTCTTAATTGGGATGGTTGGAAGCACCACTTACCATCATTTCACCAGCTGTGCCATGCGGGTCCATCAGGACACAGCAGATAGAGATTCTGACAAAGTGTCGTCTCAAAACAGAACGTCAAGGGGCTTTACTTAATGTATGGTCATCTCTCTTTATTTGGACTTTTAACAAGCAGGTTCTAAATATGAGCTAGCAGGTCTTCAGGCTTCCATTTAACTAGGCCATCAGAGTCACATTTTAAAGAGCCTCATCTACAGATGCAGAACTCGCTAATGACATTGTGGGTGACTGAACAGAGCAGAAAGAGCAGGCCTTTTTGTCTCAGCGAGAGGTTTTCTCCTTGAAAATAATTGAAACCCTGGAGCTTGTGCCAAAGAGGAACTTAGAACACTGGGAAGATGCAGGATTATCTTATAGGAGCGAAGCCACTGGCATGCCCGGCAGCCAGGCTGGGGAGAACAACAGGCCAGAGGACCTCCATCTCTCCACCTGTCTCTGGGAGACATGGCCATATCGCTCTACAGCTGCCCCCTCCACTGTTCAGCTTTGTCTTCTCATTGCTCCAGGTCCACGGGCCAGCAGAGGTTGCCTGGTGTCTCTGACTTCCACATTCCTGGAAGGCAGATTCTCGTTAGCTTATCTTGAGTTAGGTGACCACGCCTAGCTCATTCATTTATGAATTCAAACATCTGCACTAAGGCACGGGAACTGTCTCAGCAACTGAGGACACATCCTGCAACATGTGGGGAGCAGGGGGGAAGGAGAGAGGAGGAGCTGTGTGTGAGGCAAGGGGAGGGAGAGCGGGAATGCCTCCACCATTTTATAGGATCAGGATGAAGGTTGCCATTTTCAGAGAAAGGGAAGGCAGTGTGGACTTAGGATTTGGGTTCTCTTATCTTAGGTTCAAATTCTCACCACCACCACCACCACTACCACCACCACCACCACCATACCCCCACCACACACACACACACACATACACACACACACACACACACACACACACACACACACACACACACACAGCAGCTATGTATGAACTGGAACACATTAAGTGACTTCTTTCACCCCTAAGCTTTTAATCAGTATAATGGGAATAATTCGTTATAAAGTAAGCATGGGTTTCATTAAGGCAGATCTGTGCTTGCCAAACCAGGAGCGTATCCACTACTACCTTGATCCCTGTTTCTCTGCTTTCCACACTCGATTCGAGGATTAAAATGTGGGATGTTTGCCAAGTGTCGTTTGTAAACCCCGAGACTCCAGTGCGGCTGCTGTACCTCTTTTCTTACTATGATTTACGTCTCCTCCTCTTTTTCTAGTTCCCATTTGGCCGACGCTTGCCTTGTGACATCTACTGGCATGGAGTTTCATTTCGCGACAATGACATACTCTCCGGTCAAGTGAACAAATTTCCAGGTATCTGAAGTTATTCTTGGCCTTTAGAAGTATCCCTAGGTCCAAAGTCTTCTTCAAGAACACAGCACTGTTTTCAGATCAAACTTGAGGACTCTTAACTGAGACTCTCTGGCGGGGCTCTGCTGGGCTGCTGTTGCCATGGGGAGGAAGTCAATGGGAAGCCCTGAGAACTAACACTCCCAAGTAGTCTGAAGATGGAGACTGAGCCCTCACCGGTTAAGGATGTGCTTTCTCAGTATAGTTTACACTGGCACGAGAACACAGGTTAGGGGGTCAGGAAGTGGCTCAGGGTGAAGTGCTTCCTGTGCAAGCATGAGGACTGGAGTTCGAATCCCCAGCACTGCAGGCATGGTGGTCCACCTGTAATCCCAGCCCCCTGGGAGTAGATACAAAGGATCCTTAGGGCAAGCTGCTAGCTAGATTAGTTGAACTGGTGAGCTTCAGGCTCAGCAGGGGTCGGGAGGGGACCTGCCTGAGCAAATGAGGAGGAGGGTGATGGAAGAAGATACCAGATATTAACCTCTGGGCCTCTGCACATGTGTGTAAACATGTGCATGTTCATCAGCACACATGTGCAAGTGCACTCATGCATACCACACACATATGTAAAAACATACAAAATAAATACGTTTTGAACTTGTCAAGTTAGAGATATAACAGTGAAGGAACTCTAGTGTCTAAGGAAAGAAATATGGCCCTTTTCTAGCAGGACCCAGAGTTCCATGACTAGTCCTCACAGAAATGAAGACTCCACCTGCTTCCTCTTCAGGTATCACAGATGAAAGAACCGTGAGAGCGAGCTCTCCTGGTCTTTGCTGAGCACCACAGGCTACGGACAGCCTCTACCTTTTACGAAGGCTCTCATGATGAGACTTACCCTGCAAGGCCTTGGTGGCAGGAAATGGCTAAGGTCATCTCCATGTTTGCTTTTCTTCTGTCTTTCAGCCTTTATCTCCATCTCTCCTACAGTCACCATTCCTGATGGCTGTGTGACACAGAGCCAGAGGGCAGTGGGGCTGCTTAGAGAAGGAGGAACATTTGGCTGAACTTCTAGATACAGGCCCCACACTTGTTTTGTTAATGTGTTGTATCTCAATACCATATTAAATACTATTAATAATTTTAAAGAAAAAAACAGTCAAATTCCATCCCTCATTTAAGATTACATTTTTCCCAAAGTGTTTGATTTCTTTTTTACATTATGTATATGAGCTTTTTACCTGTATGTATGTATGTATGTATGTATGTATGTATGTATGTATGTATGTATGT